GCTCCACCAGCCACTCCATGCTGCTTCTTTTGGGTCAGACGTGCCACAGGGCCCAGGATGGCCAAACTGAAAAAATGAGCCCTATGGGGCTTGCAAAAGGGGACAAGGACAGAAGAGCAAAACAGAAGACAGAAATGCAGAAATATGACTCCCGAGACCATGACTTTCTTCCCTGGGGTGCTACTGTCAGCCCCCCCTGCTTGGAACTACTGGGTTGACAGCCTGCCTTACCCTGCTTGTGGGGGAGACAGTCGCTAGTCCGCAGGCCCTGCTGGTCTCTGTTCTGATGGCAACGCTGAGTGAAAGAAAGTCAATATTTGCCCAGTGGCAAAGGAGGGGAAATAAGTCTGACTTGGGACGAGGGGGTGGGAGTGATTCTGAAAAGGAAGCTTGCAGAATGTGGGGCCTCCGTGTCAGCACTTGACTTCTAAGGCCAGTTTGGATTCACTGCATTGAATAACCCTTTGTAGCTCGGCCTCGCCGGCTGGTTGGGCTGCCGTGGCCCGTCCCTAATAGATTTCCCTTATTGTTTGGCGCTGACACTTACCCAGCCTCCAGCTCCCTGGGGAAATGGGACTTCTGAAGCTTTTGCAGAGAGGCCTTGGAGCAGATGGCCCACGGAGCCAGTTCAGGCGGGGCTGGGCGGGACCTCCGAGCCCACGCTTCCTCGTCTGGGCCGGAGCCAAGGGAGAGGTGTGCGGAGAGTCCTTGGCAGGTCAGGAGGGCCTGCTAGTGATTTCGCCCTGTGCCTTTGTTTTGTTATCTTTCCATTTTTTCGTCTCTGCATCCTGCTTCTTTGTCCCGATGTTGGGGAGGAGCTGTGGGGAGGGGGAGGAGGGCTAGAGTCCACAGTCTTTCCTCGACTGAGATGAAATTCTTGAACCCTGACAGCTGCCACTGCTTTAATGGCTTTGCGATGGCTGCGCTGCTGCTCATGGAATCGTCTTAGCAGCTTAACAAAGGGTGCGTTTGGAAGCAGAAGCCTGCCCGGTGCCAGAGGTGCCAGCGGTGCCAGCGCTGGGGCTGGGCTCGGGTGAGGTTCCGGGAAGGACTTCCTACGGTGGGAATTGCCAGCTCTTGGCCAATCCACTAGGTGGGAAGCGGTGAGAAGGATCTCTTCTCTCGGGAGTGGGCCCCTGAAGAGGTCTCCGTGACATTCCTGGAGGTCAGGGCTGTCACCGAAATTAAACTTGGTCCCACACCCCCCAGATGGGTTGTAAGCTGGTAGTTCCTGGAGACCAGAGAGCCAGGGTGACCTCCCAGCATAGGGGGTGAGCTTTACTCCCATGTGAGCTTGGGGCATCTCTGGCTGAGTGACTGAGAGGTCCTGAGGGGAGGGAGAAGAGGAGGAGGACCCTGGCCTGCCTCCGTTCAGCCAACTTGCACCCCACTCGCCTCAGAGAGAGGCTGCAGCATGACTAGCCTGCTAGGGCAGAAGCGCCACCTAGAGCTGCTGCCACCTCAAGGGCAGACCCAGGCTGCTGGCCCCCAGCCTGCCTTCAGCCTGCTCCAGCCTGCTGGGCTGGGGACTAGAGGCAGATTGCAGCTTTTCCCCACCACATGGCCCCTGGGGAAGAGTGCCGTGCTGCAGAGTCCTCTACCCCAGGTCCCTCACCCACTTTTCCTGGGATCTGGAGTAGGACCAGAGGTGCTTGGCACAATTGCAGGGTGATTCAGAGCTCAGATACTAGGGCCAGGTTGCCCGGGTTCAACCCCAACTCCTGTGGGACTTTGACTTGTTAAATGCCTGTTTCCTCATCTTTAAGAGGGAAATAAAACATGCCATAGGGCTAGCATGAGGAGTGAATGGATTCACATTTATATAAGCCCCGAGTGCGCCAGGTGCACGTGGTGCTGTGGAGGTGTCCTACTATCATTACGCTGTTGCTTAAAACAGGGGCGTGTTGAAGATAAGCACACATAGCACCCAAGCTGGGAGTGGGGGTGAGGCAGGGACATGATACTGTCCTTAAGTTACTGTCCAGGGCCCCAGGAAGGCTGTTTCTTCCTCTCTCTGGACCTTGTTGTCCCCAGCTGATGGGGGCAGGGGGTGGTGACAGTGTCCCTCACCTCTCCCAAGATGACCTGGTGATCAAGTAAAGTGAATGATGGTCTGGAAACGCCGTGGGCCTGGGGGATGCACGTGCCTCCTCCCGGCTCCCTGCGACTTGTGCCAGCTTCCGGGTTGAGGCCCTGGCCTGATGAGCTCCCTGCAGGTGCCACTGATCCCAGCGAGGCCGTTTGGGTCCTGGGCACCTCTGGGCTGAATCTAGTCTCTTCCATGCCTGCTCCTCCTCGTTTGGCTGTAATGGGTTTTGCTCCTTAGCAGGGGTGGGCAGGAACATTCTTGGACACGGGCCAATGTTGGACAAGCAGAGAACAGGAGGGGGGCATCTCCAAGCTGGCACACCCCGGCCGGGAGCCTGGGACAGACTGAGGTGGTGCCTTCCCTGGGATGGCAACGCGGGAGCCCCTTCCCTCCTTCCACCCTCAGCCAGACGATCTGCCCTGCAGAGAGGTGCAGAGAAGGGCTGCCCAGAAGCAGGACATTGACTCAATGTCACATTCAGCACCTTTCCTGCCGGGTCAGTGAAGGTTAAATTGATAGCCTCTTGTCCTCTCCCTGGCCCGCCTCCTCCCTGGGGTGGGAGGTGGCGCCAATCTGACCTGCTGGCAGTATTGGGGTGATAGCAGGCCAAGGGTCTCATTGTCACCAAGGTCTTCTGCTAAGGATCTCAGGGATGACTGGGTTACAATTGCTCAAGCCAGCAGCTGAGTGATGCCATAACCCACCAGGCTGGTAGTCTGGGTAAGCAGCAGGCATGGGGTGGGGAGGCCACTTGATTTCACAGTTATCCAGGGTCTTGGAAATGTCACCTCTGGGGCCTTCATCAGAGCCAAATATCATTTTACTGAGAGCCCCAAAGATGAAGTTGCTTTGCCAAGGTGATCCCCAAAGTTAGCCATGAACTCATGCTCTAGAGTCCACCATGTTTCATCTGCTCTGTTCCCTGGGCTTTCTAAAGAAAGTGCTTCTCTAGCCAATGAAGAAACTAGAGAAGAAATATCCCAGTCTGGTGCCCATCTAGATCTTTTTTTTTTTTTTTTTTTTTTTTAGAGGCATGCTTTATTTATTTATTTTATTTGTTTGTTTGTTTTGTTTATACATGCACTGGGTACAGTCAGAAGCGTGGGAGGGTGAGAGAATTCACCAGAGCCAGAGCGGGGAGCAGAGCAGGCAGAGGGACCGAAGTACACTGCTGAGGGGAGCAGCGGGCGGCAGGAGAGGTCTGCGCGCCATGTGGGACCCTCCTCCGGTGGCCGGGGAGCAGCCGGGGATCGAACCGGCACTGCAGAGGCTGCGCGCAGCTTCGCAACCCAGCGCTCAACCGCTGCGCCACCGGGGAGGCCCCCCATCTAGATCTTGACCTTGGCCTCAGATTCTCCTGAACATCATCCCTGGGGAAGTTGGAACAACTTCCTGAGTGGTCTCGTTGTAAGAGGGTATGGAAGCTTTCCCCAGCTCTTAAAGAACAGAGCTGCCTCCACTGAGCCCAGGCTGGGCTAGGTCTTAGGGAAACAACCCTGGGCTCGGGTTCAATAAAACAAAGCCACTGCTGACATCCACCAACTGCTGGGTGTCCTCTAACCTTATTGCCCTTATCACCCTCATCTCTAAATTGTGATGGATACGCCTTCCTTCATTGGGCATAATTGGGTATAATATTTTTTACTTAAAGTAAGATTTATTGAGTCTCAATTCACAACTAACAATTGACTCAAAGTCAATTCAGTGGTTTGTATGTCCACAAGTGGTACAGCCACCCCCCCCATCTGATTTTTATTCACTCCCGAGTCATTCCCTAGTCTTCCTTCCCCCAAGCTCTAACTGATGGATACTTTAATTTCTGGCTTTGTATTTGTCTCTTGTAGATGTTTCTTGTAAATAGGGTCCTACAATATGTGGCTGTTGTGCCTAGTTTCACTCACTGGCATGAGTTCTAGGCTTGTCCATGTTGTAGCAGGCCTCTGCACTTTTCTTTTTTATGATTAAATAATATTCCACTGTCTGGATATACCATAGTTTATCTAGCCCTTCATCAGTTGGTAGACATTTGGGTCAGTGTTAGCCTATTATGAATAATGCTGCTAAACATTCATTTGAAGTTTTTTTTTTAAGATTTATTTTATTTATACAAGAGCTGGGGTACAGGCCAAAGGTCCAGGAGGGTGAGAGGACTCACCAGAGACAGAGTGGGGAGAGGAAAGGCAGACGGACTGAAAGCACTGCTGAGGGGAGCAGCAGACGAGACAGGAGAGGTCTACCGCACCATCTGGGTATCTCCCTGGCCGGCCCAGAATCGAACCCGCGCTGCAGAGGCCACGGACAGCTTCACAGCGCTGCACTCAACCTGCTGCACCACCAGGGAGGCCCTCATGTGAAGGTTTTTGAGCAAACATATGTTTTCATTTCTCATGGGTACATACTTCGGAGTGGGATTGCTGGGTCAAATGAGATACTGATTTTTAAAGCTAGCATTTACTGAGCCCTACTCTAAGTTACACAGATGATTGCCTTTAATTAGCACATACTCTATGAGCTAGGTACTACTGTGATTCCCATTTTACAGAATTGAGGACACTAAATAACTTGCTCAAGGACATTCAGCTAACAGAGTTAGGACTTGAACTTGACAGTCTTATACACCCTGCTGCCAAGAGTAAGGTTTAAATGAGATGAGGGGCCTCCCCGGTGGCGCAGCGGTTGAGCGCTGGGTTGCGAAGCTGCCCGCAGCCTCTGCAGCGCCAGTTCGATCCCCGGCTGCTCCCCGGCCACCGGAGGAGGGTCCCACATGGCGCGCAGACCTCTCCTGCCGCCCGCTGCTCCCCTCAGCAGTGTACTTCGTCACTCTGCCTGCTCTGCTCCCCGCTCTGGCTCTGTTGAATTCTCTCACCCTCCCGCTCTTCTGACTGTACCCAGTGCTTGTATAAACAAAACAAACAAACAAACAAACAAATAAATAAATAAAAATAAATGAGATGAGGGTTGAGAGTGTCTCAGCCCACTGTTGGCCTTTAGCAGCTGTTCTGTAAACAAAGGTGCATCCTGGGAAATATGACCAGACACCCTGCATTTCTCTCTATCATGCTGTGTGACTTTCGGAACGTCTTGTGTCCTTTTGAGCCTTAGTTCAGTTCCCAGTGTAGCTTGAAGAGGCAAGCTGATGCTGACTTGGCGGGGGAGGGGTGCAGTGCAGAGGAAAGCGTCCTGGATTCGCCTCTGAGTCTTGCTGACTTGGAAAGTGATTTCCCTTCTCTGGCCCTCGTTTTCCCATTGTTCAGCGAGGGGCTGGAGGGTTGATTCTCAGGTTCCTCAGAGCTCCTACCTCCTATGTGAGTTCTGTGCAGTCTATGTGAGTCTCCCAGCAGCCTGAGCCCCCCAGGAGCTCCTAGAGCCTTAGGTGAATGCCTCTTCTCCCGCCAGTGTGTTCACGGAGCAGGATGGGGCTGGGTGGGTGATGGCTTGGGGGAGCACCCTCTGTAGCTCTCTCTTCCATCATAGAGCCTTGCCCTGGCCTGGGGACCTTCTCCTCTGATGCAAGCCAGCAAAGAGCCATTTTATCTACATACCTCCACTCTTCCTTGGTTTCCCTGCAGCACCCCTGGAGTCCTGCTCCCTGGAGTCCTTCAGCCCTTGTGCTCCAGCTGGCTCTGGAGCCTGGCCCTAGTTCGTGCCCTGGGACCACTTAATGGAATGCACTGAGCATACAGTAGGCGCCTAGTAAGTGTTAGCTGATCTGTGTCTGGCTCAGTACTTGAACCAGTGGTGCCCCTAGTTCACGTCTCCCTGTCCTCTTGCAGTGAGTGCATCAACTGCACTCTCCATACCTAATCTGGCAACACCTGCCAGGCAGTCACAGCCGTTCTGCCCCATCCATCCTGCAGGTCACCTTCTATATCCTTCTCCCAGACCCTCTCTCTGCTTGGTATCCCCTGCTCCCCTAATCTGCCGATTAGAACCCCTAGCGATCCCGCATCACTACTGTGCAAGGACGTCACAGGAGGAGGGTGTGCTTCGCCCCCAGTGGCAGGGAGCTGTAGTGTCCCTATTTCATGGAAGAGGAAACGCGGCCAGGATGGGGAAGTGACTTCTCCAAGGTCACCACACTGGCAGGTGGCAGTGGGAGGATTCAAGTGGAGCCTGTCTAGCCCCGATGCCGTGGACCAGACTGACAGGAGAGGTGGCGTGAAGGACGCTGGGGAGAGGATGGGCCGTTCAGAGCCAGAGAAGCCAAGTGGACCCTCTCTGGGCAGGTAGGCTCCGAATTCCTCCAGGGCAGCTGTTGGTCACTGTATCTTTTCTCTTTGTACCCCTGCACTGAACTGGGTACCCCTGAACCTCTCCTCCAGACCTGTCTTCTCATGTGAGCACCCCCAGAGAGATTGCGTGGTGGCCAAGCAGTCTTCCTTCCACTGGGGATGGAGTCAGCCTCTGCAGGGTTTGCTGCTCCTGCCTCTGGTAGGATGAGCTAGAATTTCTGTCCCCAGCTCCCCTCCCCCACCAGGTGTCTCTATTTTTAAGCTCTGTGGGCTTAATGAGCTGCCTGCCGTGACTCGTCTTCTACATTCACCTTTTCCTCTAATAAACCCCAGAAGCTGAGCTGGGCTGTCTTTTCACTTGACAGCCCCCTTTTGCCCCCAGTCAGGAAGCCAGGGCTGGGCTAGTCCCCATCTGGGGTGGTGGCAACAGTGGACTCCAGGCCTTCGGGGACTGACCCCCTTCTCCCCACGCTGCCCTTGTTCTTGCTCCCCCCACCCCACCTGACCCTGTCGAAACCCCAAAAAACCAAAATGAAACCAGAGTGTTTAGTAAGAGCGTGCTGTGTGTATTAGAACAGTTTGCAAACCCGGAGCTTTCGCGTTCAGACTGAGCGGAGCTTACAGGCGCGAGGTGACAGGGTGGCTTGTGAGGGAGGAGGAGAAAGTCCTTCACCTGCACACCGGCTGCTCTTACCGCGAGTCTTCCAGGCTTAGGAAGATGACCTAAGTTTCTTTTATGATTATCAGAGGCATTTACAAGAAATAATCTAATTTTTGCTTATGTTCATGAAATAAGGGAGACCCAGTTTTGCCTAGGGTGGCTTAGTTGGTTTTGTCTGCTCAGGGAATTCTCAATCTGGTCTCTATGTTATATTTAACTTTAACATCCCAAGCCATTCCCGGGAGTAGTGATGTGATAAAAAGAACCCCCACATAACTGGGGGGCAGTTTCTTCTGAAGAGTGAACTTCTCAGCGGCAGGCTGGCAGGGCCTCACTTGGGCCGTTCACGGCAAGGGAGGGAGATTAGGCCGAGATGCCCAGGGTTCGGGAAGGGACTTGATGTCCCTCTGGGCTTATGCTGTGTCCCCCACCTGGGTCCTGTCCGTGGCAGTGGTCTAGTAGTGGTCTAGTAGTCTGACCTCAGCTTGAATACCCCCAGTGACAGGCAGCTCATACCTGATTTTATTCAGGATTTTTTACAAAGTGCTGATGATGCAAAAACTCACCCATATTTTGAGCCTGAAGATGTGGTCTTCTGCTGGACATGGCTGCGAGTCAGAGGGGAAGCGGGAACCCTCATGAGGACCCACAGCACCTCTGGGCTGAGGCGGTGCGTCTGAACCAAAGCCGAGGTGTGGTCCTTGCCTCTGAGGCTGCAAGGGGGAGTGGGGCCACCAAGAGGAGCTGAAATGGCTGTTAGAAAAAAGGGAGGAAGAGGCCTGAAGTCCTTCCTGCTTCAAGTGTGTGAGGAGCTCGAACACTAACAGAACATTGGAAATTCTGGAATAGACCAGTTCTGTCCATGGAAGTGGTCCTGTGTTGGTCCCCCCACGCCATGGCCAGCTACTGGGATGTGGGTCTGATAAGAGCCACGTGAGGAATTCCAGTTCCGGGCCATCCCCGAGGGTGCCTGGAGGCCCTGAGACTCCAGGGAGCTGAAGACACTCACCTACTTAGGGGAACTCTCCAAGTCTGAGGGTTTGCCGATTTGGAGCCAGGTTCCTTCCTACTACCTCTGAGTTCCCGGCAGCTGGGCAGCTGCTGCTCCCCTCTGGCTCTCAGCAGCCATGAGGCTTACTCTGCGGACCTTCAGACAGGGTGCCAGGCTCCGCAGGCGCAGGATGCAGCCTGGGTGTTTTTTTCCTGGGTCCGGTCTGCAGGGCGCAGTAGTCATGAGAAGGAGGTGATCCTTTGCCTCCTCCTCTGGCCCGGGGCAGGGAGGCAAGGGTTGTGTGAGTTCACTCCTAGCCAGGGGTGGGAGGGTGGGCATCTCGAATGTTCGGGGCAGTGTAGATGCTTCAGCTCCCGAGGTAACCTGGGACCTCTGCCTCCTGGTCCAAGGAGGCCAGCTGCCAGGTCAGGCTCTGTGGAGCAGGGCCCAGAGGTGGCTTCTCTCGAGCCAGGGGCACATGCCTGCGTCAGCTGTCAACCCTGCACCTTCTAGGCTGCTGGCAGTCATGGATCCCACCTTGTTTGGAAGCTGCCAGCCACTTGTCTGTGCCATCTCTGCCACCTCTGTCTGTTGCCGGGTGCTGGCTGCCCCTTCCAAGCCCACTTGAGTCTCCCCTAACGACTTGGATCAGTGCCACTTCCAGGAAGCCTCCCAGGGTGGTGCTCCCTGGCTCTCTGGGCCTTTGCCCCCTGGTCTCAGCAGGAGCACCTGCACATGCAAGGCAGCAGTTGGCAGTTCAGTGCCCAGCAGGCTGGCAGGGCCATGTGTCTCCCTACAGTGGTGCCTCCGGCCCAGCTCTTACCAGCACTGACTGTGGCCAGCTCCCAGCTTTTTATCTCTGCAAGTTCTTTTTGATTGAGATATAACTTAGATTATCAAAGTGGGCAGCTTGTCAGTATATGCTCCTGTGCCAAGGCCAAAGACACCCCCCCACCCCGCATCTCCCTGGGTCCCTCCCAGAACTGCTCACCAGTCTCCAGTCTCCTCTTCCTGGCTGGCCAATCCCTTCCATTCCTCACCCCCCTTGCATTTCCGCTTTGTCCAGGAATCCTGCAAATGTTGGTGTTCCGGAAGCCATCTCTGGCCCTTTTCTCCCCAGTCGCACTCTTGCCAGGTGACTGTACTCCCAGCACCACCCCCCACCAGCGCTGGTAACTCCCAGTGCCCCCACTCCTGAGCAGCCCAGCAGCCCACCCAGCTGCCTGCTGGACACTGGCAGTCTCTCGGATGGCCTGCTGGCTTTGCTGGGGTCCAGCTGGGATGTGCTTGACTTGTCTGGGTGTCCTGGCCTCACCACTTCCCAGTTCTGTCATCTGAAGAATGAGGGTGGTGGCCAGAGGAAGAGTGGCCAGAACCTGCTGACTTCGGGGTTGGGGGGCCCAGGGTCTGAGCGCCACACCTAACTTGAATGCTCAAGCAAACACAATAGAACCCCGGCAGCCCCAGTCCAGGCCAGCCCAGCCTGAGCGGGGGACAACATGAGCAACAGGGGGGCTGGCTGCAGTGCCTGGACACGGGCAGGGAGGAGCAACTGCGGTGGCCCAGGGAGAAGACTTGGCCCTGGGTCGGGCCTTAGGCCAGCGGGGCTGGAGATGAGGGCGTGGGCAGGAGAAGAGGTTTAAGAGCAGCTGCTGTCTCCCAGGAAGCTCAGAAATAGAGCGTGACCTGGGCCACTTCAGGGCCCAGGAGGGACTCCCCACCTCACCCACTGGAGGCCCCCTGCATGTTCCCGTGGGCTCACTCCCAGCACCCCCAGGGACCATTGTGGACATCATGGCGTGCTCTACATGCATTGTCCCCGAGCCTCCAGCCTGACCAGGCAGATGCCATTCTCACTGTCATGTCACCCTTAGAGAAGCAAGCGCAGAGGTTAAGCACCTGCCGGAGTCCTGTGATCAGCAGCAGCACCGAGGCCGGCAGCCAGGCCTGTCCGGCCCCCACTGGCCCTGCCTGGTGGCTTTACCTGGCTCCTTTCCCTGGGCACTGCTGCCTGCTCGCTTTGCAAGTGAAATTCCAAATTGGGACTTTCCTATTTGAAGCTCGCCCACATCTCTGCCCTCCTCCAGCCTGTGAATGGGTTGAGGATGTGGCTTGCCACTCCCACCCACTATTTCCCATGTCTGTTCAGGTCAGGCAAGAGAAAGTTGGCTTCTTTGGGGAATATGATTGTGCCCCTGGGACTTGCATGACCCAGTTTAGTTCCAAAGACCACGAGCTGTCAAAGGTGGTGGTGGTAATGGGCATCTCCTTCTGAAAAGTGATGGCACATCTTTTCCCCCAGGGCCTGTCCAGCATCTGGGGGAAGCAGGCACTCACAGATGTGGGGGGAACAGACTCTTCCTCAGTGCACCCCCTTCTCAGGTGCTGGCTCCCCAGGCTTCTCCTGACCCCCCAGCTCCCAGCTACGTGAGGGTGCAGCATTTCTGTCTATGGGGAAAGGGGACTTGCATGTGACATGAGTGAATAACCTCTATTGTACCCTCGCAGCCTCAGTTTCCTCATCTATAAAATGGGAACAACAGCGCCTACCTCACATGAAATGAAGTGCGGTGTTGGCACTGAGTAGGGTCTCAGTGAGGGTTTCTGTCCCTTCTTCTGGCACCCACGGTTCCTCAGGGCCCAGTGCCTTCCTGACGCCTCTCCTCCATTCCCCTGGCTAGCGGGGCTGTGCATTGGGAGGGGGAGTCCAGAGCAGGAGTCAGGGCTCTGTTCACAGCGAGGCCCTGGGCAAGTTGGTCCCCAGCGTCACTGTCTCCGTGGGCGGGGACAATCCCATCTGCTCCGTTTCCACGAAGGCTGGAGTCTGCCGTCTCCCCTGTGAGCTGCGGGGATGGGGTTGAGTCTTATTTATTCATCTCGTATTTATTCTCGGCTCTAGCACGGAGACTGGCGCAGGACTTGGGGGAGTCTGTGAACGCGAGGTGCAGATGAAAGAGAGGGTTTTTAAACAGTTATACATGTCAGGGGTCATTTTCAAGGTTGGATAAGGTGGACCCCTTCTACCCCTCCCCTCATTACTTAGGGAAGTGGTCTCCTCACCCTCTGCAGCCCATGATCTCTGGAGGGGCTGCCCTGGACTCCTTCCCGAGGGGAAGTCTGCTGAGAGGCTGCCCATTTATCACCCTCTTGTTGAGCAGCCCAAGACAGCAGGCCCGCCCACCCCAGATGGATGATGGCTCGGCCCTGGGCGGGGGGCTGGCTTTGACAAGCATGCTTTCATCTTCAGGGTCTCTTTTCTCCTTGGGGGATCTGGGAGCCTGGTGGAATGTGGTTGTCAGAGGGCAGAGCTGGAGGGTTCACATGGGTAACCCCAGCTCAGAT